CTCGAGGTAAACCTAACATAGCGGTACATGTCCCACACATGTATTCACGTGCTTGTTCCTATAACTTCTTCCTAATTAGTATATATTGACCTGCTGTTCCGTATTCATATCTTATACCACCTTTTGGGGTGCTGCCATTCTACGGACATTTCTCAAGCATCAACCTTCCTAATTAGGTGTCCATTACGTACTCCTGCCCTTGTAAAGTTCGCACAACCCTAGTACCCACATTCGGACTTTCTTTCTTTCTTGGATTCTTTACCGGTCTCTCCCTTACTTCCAGCCGGCAACCCAGAAGGGTCAGTCTGCCCAGGTATTAGGTGCCTTACGGTCTCCCTCCCCTTGATACATGCTTCCAGAGCACATGTCCTTTTCCTCCGGTTGGCGACCTAGCGGTTCAGCTGGTGTTTAAGTTCTTATTTTTAGTACTAGATTTAAAATACAAAACCTTTTCAAATTATATAAAAAGTTTTATTAAGTTTAATAAAAATAAGAGCATGGTCTTATTTTTAATATTAAAAAAAAAAAAATTTGATATATATATTTAATATTTCTATTTGATTCTTTATAAATTATTGATTGCAATAGTTAAAAGTTACTTGCTTTTAATATTGTTAGTTTCATCTAGTAATAAGAAAAATCAAATTTTCTAAAGTGATCAACAAGGACAGCAAATTAAAAAACTGATACCAAGCTTTTTTTTTGTTTTTTTTTCTAAGCTAATTTTTATTTTTTAATTTTTTTTTTTTTATATTTTTTTTTTTTTTTTTTTTTTTTTTTTTTTTTTTTTAGAAAATGGAAAGATTCACAGTACGAGAGTGGGTTGAACTAATTTCAAACCCTATTACTTTCGGAATTCAAGATCAACGAATCATTAATCATAAAGACTTGCCTGTGGTGAGAGATGAGATTTCAATAACATTGAGGCTGAAACTTCAAAGTCATAGTTCAAGCTGGGCTACTATTTTTCATAAAGGTAGAGCTAGATATACTGTATCTTTGCATAAAATGCTTATCAAACTAATATATTTTTGTAAAATACAAAATTCAGGTTCAGCAGATTTAATTCGTACTCCTGGACTCTGGTTGACAGGAAACAAATCTAAATTACATCCTCGCTTCACGGGCAACTGGAATAATAATGCAGGAATTATGGAACTTGGTGATGGACTTTCGTTACAAAAATGGTATCATATAGCTTACACACTTTCTGATTCGGAAAAAAGGTTAGATGTCTATGTGGATGGTGAATGGCTCGGATTTTACAGTATTCAAGATGTTAAAAAGCAAAAGGTTATTTTTAATGATGGACCACTGCATATTGGTCGAGCATTCTCTTGGGGCGGATTTAATGGTGAAATTAGGTACGATTTATTATAATTATGAAGTTAATTTTAGCAAACAATAAAATATTTAGATGGTTATTTTATCAATAGAAATGTTCGTTATTTCAATTGGCGTT